TTAGCCTGCTCATGTGTTTCTCAAGTCCCTGGGGCTGGGACTGGAACCGTGGTTGGCCATGTGGGATCTGGCTTCCTCTACCTAGCACCTAACCACTGTACTGTGGGTCCAGCCTCTTCAAACATTTTTTAATCTACATATATGCCAAAAGGATATGTTTCCTTTTCATACATTTTGTGGCATGTCATACCAGCATTCTGTGTGTGTTTCATTCACCAAACACTTTACCTTAGAGATCTTACATGTCAATGCATGATAAGCACCCTCATTGATTTTTAATGCTGTATTCTATTTCTTTTTGTTCTGTTTTTTATTTATTTATTTTTAATTTGCAGAGGGTGCATGTACTTGCTAGAGAGAGACACACAGGTGGAAGGAGAAGAGAGTGAGAAACATCTCTCCACTCTCTGCATGGAGAACGGTCATGCTGAAAACCCTCTTCCTTTGTTTCTCCCTCCTTTCAGGATTTTATACACATATACACATACACTCCCTGCGTGTGTTTCAAGCTGCCTGGCCTGGGACTTGAACCATGTGGTTGACCGTGTGTTACCTATACACCTCAACCATCAGGCAACAGGCTGGCCAATTGCCACATTATATTTCATTGTGCGGCCAGTCATAATTCATTTGACCAGGGTTCCTCTTAGGTATATCTCAGTTGCTCTAATCCTTTAGCATTATAAGCAATGCTATAACCAGGTGTGCCTATGTTATTGTGCACGTATGCTAGTTTATCTGTAGGGTAGCTTATAGACACATATTTGCTGGATCAAAAAAGTTACACATGTCTGTCATTTTGATGGAAATTATGAAAATGTCCTCTATAGAAAAGTATGCCAGTTTGGCCAGTTTCCTTTGAGTGACATTGTAGTTTTGAGTTTTCATTAATCTCATAGGTAAAATGATCTCTCATTTTATTATGAATGAGGTTAAACATCTTTTCATGTGTTTGAGTCATATATGTTTCTATATCTGTGAAGTGCCTGGTCATATCCCTAGCTTTTTTTTGGGGGGGGGAGGTTTTTGCTATAGGGCACGTGCACTCACCAGAAAGACAGAGAGAGACAGAGAGACAGAAAGCAAGAATCACCCCCAGGGGGGCTGACCATGCCACAGTCGTTTCTCCTCCATTCTCCTCTCAGGATCTTGGGCACACATGCACATGCGCCCGGCATGAGTTTAAGCCATTGGGTCTGGGACTCAAGCCGTGGTCAACTACAAGGGAGTTCAGTGACATAGCCATTACACTAACTGCTGGTCTCTGGCTATTTTTATTTTTAATGAACTTTTTGGTCTTTTTTTTTTCTTTCTCCAGTTCATTAGAACTCTATGTATTGGGAAGTTAACCCTTCGTAATATGAGTTGCAAATATTTTCACATTTTGTCATTTTATTTTTTGTCTCTCTTTTTGTCTTTCTCTTTTTGGAACTACATAGTCACCTTAGTCTTCCTATGAAGTGCTTAACTCTGCCATCTCTCCCATAGTCACAGGGCCTCAATCATCGGAAACATTAAGGACTGTCCACATGTCAGGCATGTCATTGTTCACATTCCCATTCACTCTGCCATGCCATTTGTAGAGGCTCACCACTGAGCCTCGTAAAGCACAGCTTGTAAGTGGAAGAGATAGAACTGAAATCCAGGTCTCTCTGGACCATAAAAACCATGCTCTTAACCACCACACAGGATATCCAGTATGACTTTAAATAGTATTAACTAGTCTTAGTAGTAGTCAAAGAAAAGCAGAATTCTGAAGATAAAAAGCTACTAGAAAAAAAAAAAGTACTATATTAGGAACCTAATGTATAGGAGCCACTATTTGAGAAAGATCTTCTCTGTTTATACAAATATAAGAGATACAAGAATACATAGCCTCAACAATTTTTTTTTTCTATAGGGCATGTACTCCTACCAGAGATAAAGAGAGAGAAAGTAAGAAATCACTCTCCAGGGGATATGGCCATGCTGCAGTCCTTCTCCTTAGTTGACCTGTGCACACCTGGTGTGCATGCCCATGATCCTGCTTGGCCAGGAAGGCTGTGGTGGGGTGCAGGGGAAATTTACACCATGGGACTCTATTGAGAATGCTTATCTCTCCCTCGCTCACTCACTCGCTCTCTCTCGCTCTCTCTCTCTCTCACATGAAAGAAGTAAATGTAGGAGGAGGAGAAGGAGGAGAACCAGTCTCTTAGCACAGCAGTTAAATGCTGTGTGGAAAGAATTGGGTCCTATATGGCTGACCTTGGTTCAGAACTCAACTCTAGAAGTTTGAAAAGCATGCAGGGGAACCAGCAGATGGTGTAATGGTTACATCACTGGACTCCCACATACTCGACTGCAGTTCAAGTCCCAGAACCAGCAGCTTAAAACTCATGCTAGGCATGTGTACGTGTGCCCAAGATCCTGAGAGGAGAAAGGAGGAGAAAGGATTGCAGCATGGCTATCTCCCACAGGGAGTGCTTTCTCACTTTCTGTCTCTCTGTCTCTCTTTGTGTCTTCAGTGAGCACATGAGACCTATAGCAAAAAAAAAAAAAAAAACAAAAAAAAAAAAAAAAAAAAAAAAAAAAAAAACCTTCCCTTAAAAAAGAAAGAAAACCATGCCAGACATATTTGTATGCATTCCCAAAATCCTGATGGAATGGAGAAATAGAAGGGAAAGGACTGCCCCATTGAATGGGGAGAGGAATTTTCTCTCCTGCTCGCTCGCTCGCTCTCTCTCTCTCTCTCTCTCTCTCTCTTTCTCTATCTTTACGATGAAAACATGCATCCTCTGGCAATTATAAAAAAAAAGAAAACACAATAGGGGCAAGCAAGTGGCATGGAGGTTAATTAAGGTGCTGGATACCACATGGCCAACTGCATGATTTGAGTCCTAGACTGGCAGCTTGAAAATTATGTCAGGTATGTGGGATGGGGTTGGGGATGAGGCAAAATCCCAAGAGGAAAAGAGATTGTGGTGTGGCCATTTCCCTCCCCCCCACCCCCCGCCCCAGGGGAGGGAGTGTGATTTCTCACTTTTCCTCTCTGTCTGGTGAGCAAATGTGCAGTTTACCAAAACTAAAAAAGTAAATAAGAGGAAGAAAAATGTTAAGCGTTTTTTATATGATTAGATGGCCTCTAACAACCCAAGCCAACTCCTTCTTCTACTCCTCACCAGAAGAAGCAGTTAAGTGTAGCCACATAGGAGGGAAAACTGGCTGCATTAGATATACTGTCTGAATATTTCCTAAAGAGTTGCCACAGATAATTTTTTTTTAATGCTACACTTCTGCCTTGGTATGTTGACTTTCAAACCAAACTTTCACAAAAGAATCAGTTCTACTGTCTTGACATCATTGTGAAAACTCATTCTTTAACTCAACAAATACTGAGTGTCAACTATGTGCCTGGTACTGGTGAAAAAATCTGACCTCAACACACTTTAACGCTAGCAGATTCCAAGTGTCTGTTGTGTGCTCAGAGCATTTTTTGTTTGCAGTCTTACTGGTGTGGAATCCATGAGAAGCAAACTATGCTAAGCTTGGAGAGAGCCTCAGTGTCCCATCTGGAATGTAGCACAAAGAGATCTTGAGTCTTTACGTAAAATTGTGTTACACTGTATCGTCCTAATTTGTCATGATTGAAAATTCAAGTATGAGTATATTAGGCTGTTTGTTCGAGGTCATCCAAAACTGTAATATTGTATGGGGTCAAATAATAAAGAGGATGAGATTTATAAACCTGAAAATTAATGCAAGTACAAATGCCAAGAAGAATATGATCAGTGGGACCAGCCAGGTAGCATGATGAGTAAGGCGCCTAGATCCCACATAACCAGCTGTGCTATTTGAGTCCTGGACCTAGCAACTTGAAAAATATACCAGATGTGTGTGTGTGTGTGTGTGTGTGTGTGTGTGTGTGTGCCCCAAATCCTGAGATTCTACATTAGATAGATAGATAGATAGATATCAGTGAGACGTATGGAAGGGAAATGAACTATATGGATAATGGTTTATTTTTTAAGTAGCATTTTGGATCTGGGGTTTATGGGTTTTCACTGGTTGAGTCTTTTTAGCTTTTAGTATTATAGATAGTATGCTAAATTTTTCATAAATGAGCCCAGAAAAGGATTGCATGAGCATGTGTGTGTGTGTTTGTGTGTGTATGAATGGAAACTGAGTTTTAAACATCTCTAAAATATCTAAGACTTTTTTGTAAAACATAGGTATAAGAAAAACTTCAAATTGAGGTCTCATCCATTTTCAGTAGATGGTTCTCTCTGTTGGTGAGATATTTTAAGAATTATTTATGGGTCCAGCAGGTGCTGGACTCCCACATGGTCGACTGAGGTTTAGTTTCAGATCCGGAAGCTTGAAACTCATGTTGGGCATGAGTGTGTGCATGCCCAAAATCCTGAGAGGAGAATGGAGAAAAAGGATTGTGGCATGGCCATCCCCCATGGGAGGTGATTTCTCTCTTTCTGTCTCTCCATCTCTTTCTCTCTGGTGAGCACGTGCACCCTACAGCAAAAATCTCTCTTAAAAATTTTTTCATTTATTCCTAGTTAAAAATATTTATCTAATATCCACAGTTCATGGTAAAAAAAATATAGATAGATAGATGGATAATCAGTGAGATGTATGGCAGGGAAATCAATATATGTGTATATATATTTGACATTTCTGCACCCACTAAGCCCTGGGTCTAAAGCATTACCATGTGGTGTCACCAGGGAAGATGGAGTGATTTTCCCAGGAAATGCACAGGGTCTGAGTTTCCAGGCTAGAGGCCCACTGTGATTGGTGGGAACCCTTTATGTGGAGTGGCCCTCGTTATTGCCTGTTTTTACCTGATAGCGAGTGACCTTTGTGACAAAAGCTTTGAGAGGCCCACGACTGGGCAGTGTTTCTCCTGGAGGTGAAATTAGCCCAGGACTACCAGAGTTAGAATTTGAAGCCAAGACTGCCTTTGCTAATGTCCTTTCTCTCTGTGTCTCTCTTTACTCTTTTAACCGCAGTGAAGGGAGCAATCTGACCCCAGCACATCACTACCCAGACTTCAGATTTAAGACATATGCTCCACTAGCCTTCCGGTATTTCAGAGAACTTTTTGGTATCAAGCCTGATGATTACTTGGTAAGAACCTGTAATTTTCCTTCCTCCTACAGAAGTGTGTGATGTAAACATCGGTCTCATAGCAACAGTGACAAGTGGCTTGTGTCTCTCATTTTATGAAGCTTAGGGGCATAGCAAAAGTTCCAGATTTTATGATGATTATACGTTTAGCTTCAGGAAAGGTGATTTGACTGCAGCTTTTAACTGATAGCTATAAAATCTGTGGTGGCAATTGATATTTAAATAATTGTGATATCGGTTGCTGCTTGAGATAATGATTCCAACAGATATATTATAATTAGTTCTAAATACTCCTGTGAATTTTGCTGATTGGATTCTATTTGAAAGCCTTCCTACTTTAATTGCCTTATTTATACCATTCATCTCAAACCTACCTTGGCCCAGGACCATTTTCACCTTGACCTACAATTTTGAGTAACATTTAGAGGAACCTACATAGTTTTGTTCTCAACACCTCTTCATGCAACCTCTTTTTAAACATATTTTTTATTTGGCACAAGGACATACTTTGTCCTCAGACTCGTCTGTTCTCTCTCTTTCTCTGGCACACAGGAGATACAAAAACAAAGCCTTTTTGTGAGGTAGCCTAATTGACTTCAGAGCTTTACCTTCTTCCTGCTCAAGGAGCCAGAAACTTCCTTTTGGTTGCAGGAAGAAAATGGCTTATTTCATAATTTGATCACTGTTAACACCCTGGGGCTCTTCACAATTGGTTTTCAAGAAACTGTGGGAAGGTCACCATCAAGTATTTATTGTTCATCCCATCCTGAACCATCTTAAGACTTGAGCCAGATTCTGGAATAAAACGCTTTTCAGAGGAAGCAAGCAACATCTGTCCGTTGTAATCAGAGTATTTAAAATGCATCTTATAATGTGGGTAAGATGGAAATCATTCCATTCAAGGCTGATTCTGTTCTGTGCTGATGAGAACCCAAGAAGAATCCTCTTCCTCAGATGGTGCCTAAGAAATCCTGCGACTTCTGCCTGGTGACCTAATAGTGGCTCTGCAGGCACCTGGATAAGCCTCCATAGCACAGTTCAGACCAAACCGAAAGTTCCTGGCCGTCTGCTGCCCTTAAATGTCCACAAAGGGGCTTCAAAAGGTTCATAGGAAATGTGAGTCATGAAACAACTATGCATGGATTTCAACCTTTTTTGCATAAAATAAACTTGTACCCTAATTCGGTTTTTCTACAGACATTTTGAAGGTCCCCCATACATTGTTAAAGCTCACTCTGTCACCACTGCCCTTTCATTGAAATGTTAGATGCCTCTGTCCATCACTAAGAACTCAAGTACCTGAGACATACATTGTTCTGTGTATTTATGTATGTGACTAGGTATACAAGGATACTACAAAAAGTTTGTAGAAAAACGGAATTAAAATACAAGTTTATTGGGACCAGAAGGTGGCCTGGTGGTTAAGGTGCTGGAGTCCCACATGGTTGACCATGATTCAAGTCCCAGACTTGGCAACTTGTTTTCTCTCTCTCTCTCTCTGGTCAAATTAAAATAAATAAAATAAAATAAAACAATAAATAATTTTTTAATGCAAGTTTATTTTGGTACAAAACAAATTGGTATCCATGCATGGTTTTTCGTAATACACATTTTCCATGAATTTTTGGAGACCCCTGTGTGTTAGGGAAAATTCTTCAGTTTCTGGCCTTTCTGTCATTAATGGGAGTCACCATCCTTCAGGGAACATGATTGGGGAACCCAGTGGGGTTCCAAGATTATATTATGAAAAACAGGATTGATCTCCCATCTGCTGCCACATGTTAGAAGGACTGAATTCTTCTGGATTTTCTTGAACTTCTCACCAGCAAGAGGTGCCACTGGCTGAATTGCAGAGCACTGATCCAATCAGTGTGACATGTTCTCTGCCGTCCTCAGTCCTCCTATGACCATTGCTCCATAGGCTGCAAAGTCTGTTCTTTCGTTCAGTCTGGCCTGACAAAATTGCTTTCTTTTGGGAAAGCCCTTTTCTGAACAACTTTTCACAAAGCTCATACAAGTTTCCTAGTGAGTCTTTAAGCCAGAAAAATAATTATGCCCATAACGAGGTTGGAGTGTTTACAGAGGAGCACAGGAGACTAAGCTGATGGTTTCCCACAGCCAGACTCTTGTCCATGTGCCTGGCAAAAGACACATCGATGAATCATTGGGTACTTCAAACACTTACGGTATCTAAAATACTTTGCTAATAGTTACAGGAAGACTTTTAAAATTATGAATCACATATCATGACATGCAGAGAACTTAGAATCCAATTGGAATGACAGCTTGTTCATGTGGAAAACCAGTGAACTCTGCCGTGCAATAAAGACTAATGCAAACATTAAATGCTCCAGGATTTCAGAGGGGGAGAGGGAATTTCTATTTGTTGGGGTGATGATCAGGAGCTCTTCTCTGGGCATGGTGTGGTTTAAAATGTACCTTAGGGGGCCGGCAGTGGCATGGTGGTTAAGGCATTAGACACTCCCACATGGCTGACCACAGTTCGAGTGCCAGACCTGGTGGCTTGCTTTCTCACCTTCTTTCTCTCTGTGTGTCTGTCTTTCTCTGGTCAAATGAAAATGATTGAATGAATAAATAAAATTAGATCATTCTTTTTTTAAAATGTACCTTAAAAATTAAATTGCCTCAAAAGGAGATTTGAATAAGTAGAAAAGAAGGGACTATTGTTTAAGAGTTAAGGCAGGGGGGTTTTGCCAGGACTGTGAAACCAGAGATGTGAATACATGAGATGTTTAGGACTTTGAATGACCCAGTGTGGCTGGAGCAGAGGTTTTGATCAGGAACATTAAAGGTGAGCCAGACAAATCAAATAAACAAGCTTATAAATGAGAGGAAATCCAGGAAATGACTAGGGATTTGATAGTGTTGAGGAATTACTTTTTTGGTAGAATAATATGTGATTCTGTTTTAAAATGGGAGTCCTTTCTCTCCAGCAAGTGCACGTGCACTATGGCCAAAACCTTAAAAATAAATAAATAAATAGATAAATAAATAGTAAATTTAGAAAAAAGAGAATCCTTGTCTTTTAGAGGAATATACTGAAATATCTATGGATAATATTCGGTGTCTGGGATTTGCTTCAGCAGAATTTGAGATGTTGGTCAAAGTTTCATTTAGACAGGCAGGAAAAATGCAGATCTGTTCTACACAGTGACTATAGGTCATAACCATGGCTCATGTACTTGAAAATTGTGAAGTACTTAGAACTTTAGCAATTAGTGACCCTATGCATGGGTTTGATATTAAATACCTGCAATACCTGCATATTTCTATTTAGTTTTATGCTGTCCCTTCTGGATTTCTGCCTGACTCTTCTATATATGTTCTTAGTACTATTAAAATTCACCAGGAGCATGCTTGATAATGTGTTTCATGTCAAAACGTGCATAATTTGGATTGTGAGGCCTTACAGTGAAAGTGCTTCTGCATATGGCAATGCGAGCACCCCTTCTTCCTTATTCGTTCCTAGGCAGGCACTTCCCAAGGCAAAGCCCAGGGCCCTAGAGCATTCTTGTTTCCGCTTGGGCAACAGGCCTTTGGTTCTTTCCTGCCCTATTAGGGACCAGGGTATTCAAAAATCAGGAATAATTTATGTGAGTCTCTTCAGCCTCACCTGTGCCAATAAGAAAGAGAACAGAGTGAATATTTCATACTATGGAGGAAAGCGATGGCAGGTGAAATTCTCTCTGCTGTGAAGTGCAAGTTTACACTGTCAATTTGCATTGGCAGGGCTTAGCTTTCTTTCCAGTGGGTAGAGCAGGGGGGCCCTGCAGGAAATGGAAGTGAGAGAATGAATACATTTGAACAGCTTGCAAAGATGAAAGTGCCCGGAAGGTGCTTAAAACCCAGGAGCATACACGGGGCCTTATTGATCCTGACTAATTAAAATGTTCCCATCTCTCCTCGTTATTTGCTCTTATAAGGCAATCTTTTCAAAAGAAAGTTGTTTAGATAAGAACATGATCACTGAGTTGCAGAGTGAGAATCATAGGATTCTAGAGTATAATAGTAAGATCAGCACAGAAGTTCAGCAGCATAACCCTGGTTTTGTGCTAGCGCCCCCAAAAGGTTATTAAAATGGGTCAAAACAATGTATTATCCATTCATATTAAATTGCATAATTAAGGAGAATTTGTGCCACACAAGTAACCCTTGAGATGGTCTCGATGTTGTCACTGTGTATAGAAGATTTTAGGACTTTAATTGAGAGCAGATGTTCAGGTTTGAGTCCGGTTTGTTTCCAGATAGCTCTTCCTGGATCACCCCCTAATTTCCTGACTTGCAGCCTCGAATTTCTGTATCCTTTGTTTTTGTTCTTTCGCATTTACTCCTACCCGTAAGGAGGTTCTGTGCTGGGAATCCAAACATCATGGGATAAAGAATCAGAAAAGTCAAGGATCTTTTTTCACTTTTTATGAGAACTTGGGGTCTATGCTTTTATTTTCTAGTGTCTCACATCTATGATTGTATGACCAACCTAACTGTTTATTCCTTCAGAATGTGCCACTGTTCTTTGGGTAACGTTCCAGTCAAGGAAGTTAGGCTGAAAACCTCCGTCTGTTCTCGGGCATCCCTAGCTCTCCTTACCGCCCTGTGGAATGTGTGCGATGCAGGTGTGAACTGCTCTCACCTGCATATATGATGATGTAGTAAAAATAATGCAGCAGCAGTAAGAAGCATTCCCTTTAAAAACTTTCAGCGACTCTCCTGTAGGTATTATTATCTTTATGTTAAGGAAGAGACTCCTAAGACTCCAAGATGCTTAAGTATTTTTCCCAGGTCACATAACCAGCAACTGCAAAGGCCATGATTTTATGAGCATCAGTTAATTCCAAATCCAGTGCCCTTTCCACGAATCACCCTTCGCCGTGCACATGTTGTCTATACACGCAGCTGAGCAAGTGTCCTCTGCTGTTGCTTGGTGGTTAGATGTGTGCAGTCTGATGGCTACCTTTATTTATTTGTTTCTTTGTCTTTTTTGTCACCCTTCCCCGTGCACATGTTGTCTATACACGCAGCACGCAGCTGAGCAAGTGTCCTCTGTTGCTTGGTGGTTAGATGTGTGCAGTCTGATGGCTACCTTTATTTATTTGTTTCTTTGTCTTTTTTGTTTGTTTTTGTCTTATCCTTGTTGGTAAGGGCTGAGGTACTAAAGCTGCTTATCAAGAAAGCACCAACGAGCAAGGCTAGGGCCAGCCAGTGGTGTGGATGAGGCTATCAGATCCCACATGACTGACTGCATGGTTCGAGTCCCAGACCCAGTGGCTTGAAAAACACACTGTGCATGTGTGGGTATGCCCCAAATCCCAAAAGAATGGAGGAGAAGGAATTGTGGCATTACTGTCCCCCATCATGTGTCCTTTCTTCTCTTTCTCTCTTCTCTTCTCTTCTCTTCTCTCTCTCTCTCTCTCTCTCTCTCTTTCATGAGTTCACATGCCTTCTGTCAAATTTTTAAAGAATATGGGAGGCTAGAAGAAAGAGGAGGTGGTGGAAGATGGACATTGCCATTTAGAAAGTTAGCCAACACCTCTTTCTCTTCTTGGGGAATTGCTTTTTACCATATCCATGGTGCTGCCAAAGCAAGATAATGTAAAAGTGACATCTAGAAGTTGCCTTTAATCACTCGCCTTGTTCTCTCTTCTTATTTCTCACCTTGTTCTCTCTTCTCTTGCCTTCCCTCCTTTGAGATTTTTCTGTGATGGAGACTTAAATATTCAGAAGCCCTGAACGAAGCTTTGGGGATTTTCAGCTTTAGTGTTTTCAGATGCCCCCATCCTCAGAATTTGGTTCTTTAAGTCCTTGCTTTGCCAGACTGGATCTCACACCCACGTTAGCCTTCTTACCTTTCCCCTGCCCACCTCCTGCCCCCTGTAGGGTTTTTCTAGTTAGAAATATGGATTATTAGCTAAGAAACACAGATTAATAACCAAAAATAGATTTCTTGTTGGTTTTTAGCATTTTCATGTGTAGCCCTTTGTCGAGTTCATTGATCTGACAAAAATGTATTGAGTACCTACTATGTGCAAGGCACAGGTTCTAGGACTGTATCACAGTATAAGATATTCATAGGTTCTGCCCTCATAGAGTTTTACAGTCTAATGGGGGGACTCAGGAAAAGGACATAGGCGGTCATGGGATTTTCCTGGTACCTTCTGTGATGAAAACAGCCAGCGCCAGGAAGCGATTGATCCAGACTCACAGAACCAGGGAGAGTTTCGCAGACGAGTGCTGTCCCAGCAGACGTCGAAAGCTAAAGCTGCCATATTGGCCTCCAGACCGTGCTTCCTGTGTCAGATCCTGTCTACCTACAGGAGCGCTCAGAACAACAGAGCGATGGTCAGCCCCACACCATCACGGCCTTGCACCTCCCTTAAAGGAGAGGCTGAAACCTGGACGGTGTCCTGCATGTCCCTCCTGGGCCTGGCCACTTGCCCCTCTGGCCACACCCCTTTTAGCTCTCCTTGCCCACTCTGCTCCACCACTGGCCTCTGCTTGTACATTAAACCCTCCAGATCTCAGGGCCTCAGCATGTGCTGGGCTAACCACAGCTTTGAGATGTATCTGGTTGTGAACTTGCTGTGTGTAAAGTATCTGTACTGGAACACAATAAAATGCCTAGAAAATGTTAGACAAACAGGTCTGGGTCCTTGAGAGAGCTCTGGACTGTAGACACAGATGATGCCAACAGGCATCACTGGTTCAGACCATGAGTGGCCGTCGTCTCCTGGAAGAGTAAAAGAAGAAAGACTAGGTGTTGGTGTTGTAGCGGTAAATGCACAGTGTGATCACACTGAGAGTTGTTATGTATGGGCATTTACTGGAAACAAGGCACCTTAGTCAGCATTACCGTTTGAGTCCTAATGGACAAATACAGTGATTCATGCTCCCTTCCTAAGACAGGTGGGAGAGCATGTCTGCTTCCCATCACAGAAATATTTCAGATTAAAAGGATCATTCTTTGGAAATCTCATGAAGAGCCTTCACAGTATACCCCAACCCTCATTTTAAAGCTGGTAGAGGGGCTGGCAGGTGGACTGGTGGTTACAGTGCTGAACTCTCACATGGCCGACTGTGGTTTGAGTCCCAGACATGGCAGTTTGCTTTCTCTCTCTCTCTCTCTCTCTCATCTCTGGTGAGTGCACATGCCCAACAACAAATAAAAAAAATAGTAATAATAATAAATAAAATAAAATAAATAATCTTTGTTTAAAAAGCTGATAGAAAGGGCTTTGTATTTCAAAATGGCCATGATGTGTGGTTCTGTGACTGTCCTCCTTAGAAGCATCATGTCCACTGGGTGTGTTTTAAAATACTTGGTTTGCTCTTTCAGTATTCCATCTGCAGCGAACCTCTAATAGAGCTGTCCAACCCTGGAGCCAGTGGATCCTTGTTTTTTGTGACCAGCGATGATGAATTTATCATCAAAACAGTTCAGCATAAGGAAGCTGAGTTCCTTCAGAAGCTTCTGCCAGGCTATTACATGGTGAGTAACTGCATATAAGTATAGCTTCTATTTCACCTTTAATTGCTTTCCTTGACAGATTTTTTTTCAAAATTTTTTTTCTTTTCAATGAGTTCTTGACATGTTTCTTTCTCTCAGGTGAACTCTGTTCTTCATTTAGATTATGCTATGGCACTCACTGGATAGATTTTGAAAAGTAAACTAGAATTGGGGCATAAAACATGGTTGTTGAATCACAGTCCTGTGTTTAAATCCCAGCTCAGCCGTTGGCTATGGGTGCCCAGGAGAAAGCAACCTACTGCCAAACCTTTGTTCCCCCAGTCTTTATTTTTAAGTTTATTTCTTCCATGCTTGAGAGAGAGACCCAGAGAGAGAGAGAGAGAGACAGCACCCCCAGCAGGATCCCAAAACCATGATTCACCCCTTGCTTTGGCGAGGTCCTGGATCATGCACCTGCCTGGCATGTCAGAGGAGTTTTCAGATTCTAGCCCAGAACTTTCTCACGTGAGGTCAGCCTTGCAGAGCATCATGTTTTACCACTGAGCATTATATAATTTAGAAACTCATAGGTTAATTATAACAACATAAAAACCATCATTCAAGTAATGTTTTAGAGACAAATAAGCAATAACTTAGCCCAGATGAATTGACTAGTCCTTTAGTCTAATTTTTTAAAATAATAACTATGTTCCCTAAGTTGTCCTGTTATGTTCATACCTCTAGTATTGTTATACTTTCATAAAAGTTACTCATTTTCTGTGATTGGAATGGCTACATGAAGGCATTTGAATTTCCAAAAACCAGTTATGTTATTCACTTGCTATGAGCATTAGTAACTGTCACTTTTAGAAACAAAATTGGTAAGATGCCACTTCATTTCTGTGTAAAAACATTATTTTAATTTACGCCAAGCGCATGTGTGTGCGTGCCCAAGATCCCGAGATGAGAATGGAGGAGAAAGGATTGTGGCATGGCCATCCCTTCGGGAGGGGGGTGTGATTTCTCACTTAATGTCTCTGTCTCTCTCTCTTCTGGAAAGTGCACGCACCCTCTAGCAAAAACCTCTCAAAAAATTTTTGTCATTTTTTTCTAAAAAGTACATCATAACCTCTAGCTAAAAGTGTTTATATTATATTATAAGTAATCTGGAGGTGACTTAAAGTATATTAGAGGATGTGTAGGTTATAGGTAAACACTGCCATTTTATGTAAGAGACTTGAAAACACTTGGATTTTGGTATTCATGGAGTTTCCTGGAACTGATAAACCAAGGATAATGAGGAATTTCTGCAGTCTTTGTTTTCACTGTTGTGTTTTCTTTTGTTTTCAGAAAATAAAAAATAGACAAAAGCAAAAAATAAAAAGATGAAACCAGTATAATTCCTTACCCAAAGACAAACATTACTAAATTTGGTGTATATGCTTTGACATGCATTCTATTCATATATACATTTTTAAATAAACTAAAATCATAATTAAGCTAACATCACACTCTTTGACAATCTGTTAAATAAGTAAATCTTAAGCTCCTATAGTTCTAGGCTTAAATATACTAGTCCCTTATTGTAGAACTGCATTGTCAAATGTGGTAGCCAGTAGCTATATGTGGTGGTTTAATTTAATTAAATTAAATAGTTTTAAAATTTAGCTGAACAAGTGGTTTCAAGTCAATCGTATAAGCTAATATAACAAACAATATAATTAGTCCCATCATCAAACAAAAATGTGAACATTGTGTGGCTACCCAAATAGATATTGTGGAGAACATAAGACCTTCAAAATTCAACATCTTGGGGCCAGCAGGTGGCGTGGTGGTTGAGGGCGCTGGACTCCCACATGGCCAACCACGGTTCGAGTACTGGTCCTGGAGGCTTGCTTTCTCTCTCTCTCTCTCTCTCTCTCTCTCTCTCTCT